CAACCCAAACCATTCTGTTACTCTGTCACTGCGATACTGTCCCTGTGTTCCTCTGTGTTTACCTCATTTATACCAGGGATGAGGATTGAAATAAAGAAGTTGTAGTTTTTCTGAGGCCCACATCTTTATCAGGACTTTTCTTTTGCAGATTGTTGGGGGTGAAAGAAGGATGTTGGTTTGGAGTGTGGTGTTAAGTTCTAGGTGTGGTTTGTTTGGGTTTTTTTTTTCAGAGTACTGGAAACTAGATCAGGCATCCAGTTCAACAGCAGTGTATAGGAGTAAGGGGCTCTTACCATCATTCCATGTTTTTCTCTTGATACCCAAGGATCCTGTGTTTGCTGTAACATCTCCCACTGAAACTTAGAAGAGAAAAGCAAGGTGACTAAGTATTTTGCAGAGATTATCAAAGCACAGTCACACAGCAAAAAGCTTTATACTACAAAAACAAATGCATTGGGATAAGTGACCTGGAGCAATGAGAATCTTCTACAAAAGCTGGGTGCTGGGTTGGCACACAAAATCAGGGTGGAGACACATTTATTTGGCAGATGCCTTGAGCAGCTTAATAACTAAAGTTTCTTTTCTGAAAGTTTATTGTTTTACTGACTCCGTGCCTCAGCATTCACAGAACAGAGTACACAGTCCTTTTCCAGCAGGCTAAAATGTAAACCACACAGGTTGGCTCAAATATTCTTGGTGTTGACAAATTCCATTTAGAGAGAGCAGAAATGAGCAGTAATATGCTCAGTTTCTGGATTTGGAAGAAAGTATCTTAAGAATGTGATCGAGCACAAGAATGAGGCAGGTGAGAAGCAGTGGTGTCATCCCATGGATGTGTGGATGTCATTCCAGCCTCAGTTAATGGCACTACCATGTGGTGCCCTTGCATACCTCATTAGGGCTCTGATTCATGAGTGAGGACAGCTGGCTTAAGGATGGCTCCCACGGTTTCTGCTCAAGCTGTCCATCTGGTCTCTGCTGCAGAAATGGTTCAAGTCCTCAACTAACATTTTTGATGTTGAAAATTATTATGTAACATTGAGAAAAATCAGAATTAGTTCTGGTTTACTTTAACACACTGAGCTTTAAGCTGCAGTGGTTAAGTTCCTTCTACAGAAGCATCTGATCTGCCTGGAGCAGGGGCATGGTGCCCCTGAGAGCTGGAGCAGAGGTCTAGTCACGGGAACGCTTACAGCAGACACAGGGTTAGCTGTGTGGATCCTAGATCAGAGGTCTTTTGATACTAAAATAGAAGCAAGAATATTCTATTTAGAAAACTGATTCTGCTTTAGCAAAATTAATATAATAATTAATAGTTCTCAAAAAAACATCACTGCCCTGGATTCTTCTCTCTTGACTGTGGTGTGAACTGAATAAAGTTTGCTTTTATAGAGTTCTTGTACTTGGCTTGATTGTGACAGATCTCTGCAGTTCTAACTGGTATGGGCTTGCACCTCCCTATCCATAAGACTTTACATGCCTGCTTGATCAGCTCTAAAACCTGTGATATTTTCTTGCACCATTTCACTGTATCTCACTTAAGCTTCCAAAAGCACAAAAGATTCTCCGGTAACACTGAACGCGTCAGGTGTTTTCACTTTTTGTTCTTGCTTCTAAACCAGTCCAAAGACCATTTCTGTTTGCTGAGTATTGCCTACTTGACCATGCAGATACAGGTTCTTAATTTATTTTCCTTCCCCATTCTGGCCACATATTTCACCCCTACAGCATGGGTCAACAGGCAATTTTAAGTTTCATTTTAAGCACTTTATCTCACCACTCAAGTTTTTAGTACCTGATAGGAGACTTGAACTTTCACATCCCCAGCTCGAGGGACCCAGAGGCTGTCGTCTTAAGATACAGTCAACTTCATCATAAAATCTCATTTTTCTCCTGGGATTACCAAGATGCTCATTCTCCTTCTGCAGTGCGCGATATTCGTATTTTAAGTTCTTGTACTTTGTGCGACATTGTTTCCAGTCTCTGTCTATACCACGTTTCATTAACCTTCTGGCAATTTCCTCAAATATTTCTTTATTTCTTGTGGCCCCTTCAAGCATTTGTTGTATCTTTTCATCTGACCATATGTTTATTAGAGCTCTGACTTCATTATCACTCCAGTGTTTTCCTGCTCCAGTATCATTAACTGTTATAACTTTAAAGTGATTTTGTGTTTCTTCCAAGGGAATGTGATTGTCTGAAAATATAAATGAAACAACAACTGACTATTGCTGGATATACATACATTAAAGTGTAATTGTAGCTAATGATTTGCTAACAAGCTGAAGGATTAATTAATGTTTATAATAATCTCTTGGTATGAAAATTTTTTAACTTTGCAGCGTTAATATCCATATGTGATTACATTTCTCTTAAGCATGCAAAATATGTAGTAAGTGAAATCTCTTGTTTCTACAAGGCATCTAGAATACCACATTTTGTCAGTGTGATTTTGTTGCTGTTGTTATCAAATTAAAGACAGATGTATCTGAGTGCCACATGCAGGAAAGCAATAGGCTTAAGCTTTAACAGCAACAATCTACCAGCTGTGATGACAGTGGCTTTCCATTATGGTTTCACATTAGAATGGCAAGGCAAAATATCGTACAATGAAAATGCTACAGGGGAGTCGACAGAAAAGAAAAATCTTATTAAGAAGTAGGCAGATGGTGCTCATCAGATAAATACAGAAGGCACAGTTGAATGACAGCATTAATGCAAGTTTTGCTTATGAAAGGGAACAGGGCTATGAAACTCATTTTACAGTTTAGTGATAAAGCTAGACTGGAGTCAGAAGTAGAAAAGTAGAGCTGTGTTTACAGTAGAGATTTGGTTGCTCCAGCTTTGGTACTGAAACTACAATGCAGTTTTGTTTCAGAATAAATGCATGGAAGTTAATACTCACCCGTCCCTGCTATCCGTTTTGCTACTGGCGTACAAGATCTGTCTTCTGAGGTAGTGCTTATAGAATCATCATCTACAGAAACACACAGTTTTAAATAAAATAATACATATGCTAATATTATTGTCATCCTCTGCAGGTAGCTCCTATCTTCAATTAAAAATGCCATAACCCATTAATCTAACCCATTAGTTATAACAAGTCTTCTGCCAGATGCCCCCGTGACTCAAATTATTTATTGGCATTTCGCATAAGCCCCGTCTTTCTTTCTGCCCCTGTTATCCCCAAAAGGTAGCTGTGGATGCAACACAAGTTTAAAATACACAATTAAACCCGTAGGCGCCTGTGGATGGTTTGTATCTCACGTAAGTGGATTTGCACACTATGTCGTACGCACTGATTAGCATAGGCGTGCATTCCAGGATTTTTCCTAGGCGATGTGGGTAGGGCAGGCTCCTTGAGGGCCTGCCCCAAATGTGGGCCCTCTCCGGAAGGAAAGGATTTTTTGAAGCTCTGGTGCCAGTTGTAAGGGCACGCGTCTGGATTCCCTCACGCCTAACTGGGCCTGGACTGTAGCCTTTCCCGTCCTGGGGTCGTGCATGCTCCCCCGCTGCTGCCACGGAAAAGATCAGGGACGTGGGCCCGAGAGTTCCACCGTCCCCCTCAGGTTTGGAAGCTGCGCATGTGAACGGGATGCGGTGAGGAGCGAGAGGCACAGGCACCCCTCCGCAGGCCTGCGCACAAGCTGCGCCTCATAGTGCTGATGGGGCTTTTCTCAGACCTTTGTGGGTTTCCCCGGTACAGCAGAAAGACACTGAGAAGACACCCTTCCTCCTTATTCCTACTTGTTCTCCTCTATTTAGGATTCCTTTTTACAACCAAAAAAAAGCTGGTTTAGAGCCCGTTTTAGTAAGCTACCATGGTGGGTTTCAAAGCTGGGCTTTGAGGCATTCCTTTCCCTGATTCCAGGAGGGAGGGCAGGAAGGGATGTGAGGTTTTGTGGGGAAGGTTGCATACTTTTGCCTTCCTTTAGGAGTCAGCCATGTTTGTTTACTTTTGGGTGAAAGGCTGGGCTGTGATACAGAGCTTTGGTGAGGAAGAAAACATAAGCAGAATAAAAACTGAAAACCAAACAAGTCATTAATGCTTTTGTGGAAATCTTAGGCTCAGCTTAAGTTGCAGTTTCTGTATGTAGGGATGGCTATCTGCAACTGTGTGGCTCAAATGACAAAACAGGGAAGACCGAAGAACTATTTTTTATTCTATCAGCATCTGAGTTCTCTTCAAAATTCCAACACTAACAGGATAGAAACATCACTGTATTATTTTTCTGCATGTCTGCATAGTTGGGTTTTTTTCTCTGCAGAGCTGAGGCTTTAATAGCTTTTTACTCCATCAAAGCAGAAAATCCATGCCCTTCAGAAATAAAATTCAGGAGCCCTCAGAATTCTTGAAATCATCTACAGACACAAACCCCCAGCTCTGCTGACTCTGGGCTCATTTCCTCATGCTTGGACTTCTCTGAGGCTGAAAGTTCAGTTTTGTGTGGAATTACTTTCTGGGTTGGGAGAGAGACAAAGATTAGTTCTCATTGTTTTGGTAGGGGAAGTCCTAGACCACTTATCTTTGCTGAACTTTCTGGTAAAGAGTAGAAGTAACTATTCCTTATATGTTTTGAAAAACTGAGAGCATGGTTTAGACACTGTTAGAAATAAGAGACTGTTGGCAAATAAGCAGAGTCATACTTGGAATTCGTATTTGCTTTGTAACTTGCTTTCTCTTTGGCAAACACTCGTTTTCACAAGCCATATGCAGGAATAAATTTTATACCTATGGAAAACTTTGAACCAGAAATTATACTCTCATAAGCATGTGCGTGTGATTTACTTGGGGTACTGGGAAAAAAAGTGTTTTTTTTCATAAATAGGCTATGCTATAACTCTTCAGAAAATTCTTGCATCTTCCTTTAACACCTGTTGGAAATACAGCCTTAGACCAAAGTGGAGCACTAGGTCTTGAGTGGTTTTTGTTCTTTTTTTTGGTAACTATTACTAAAATCGCGCAATGGCTTTCATTTATGTGCTCATTCTCTCAACCATGCTGGCTCTCTAATCTCTTTCGGCCTTTGGCAATGGCACTTGCATACTGCTGACTTGCATGATTACTATCCTCAGTTGGATATTAAGAGGACACGAACAGAGAATTTGTGTGTTTAAGGCAGGCATTTGATTTGCATGACATTTTATTCTGTGTCATTGTGTATGAACTCTTCTCTTTGCATTAGTGTGACCTCGCTACGTCTCTGAACTTTCAGGGACACAGCTTTACTTTATCCCCAGTGTAACTTGTGTTTCTGTGTGTCAGTCCTGTGACGGCATTGCTCTTGTGTTGTCCTCAGTGTCACGTTCCTTACAGTTGTCTTTCATAATCAGGATCAGCCTACGCAAAGAGTTATAAAAGCTGTGTTGGATGGGGTGTCTGAACACCCAAACTTCAGATAACATAATTGCTGAGAAGGAAGCTCTTGCTTGGACTGCAGACATAATAATGAATAATAGAAATACTCTGGTGAAAGAGCAAAGAAATGCAGTTCACAGAATCATTATCATAGATTTTTTTTTT